ATTCTCATCACAGTTTTTATCTAAACATATTGCAGATCCTTTGTGGGAATTGAAAATTATTTTATTTCCACTGTGCATGATTAAATAAATTCTCAGCAGAAAATATGCACTCAAAAGTTCACAAAACCAGATGAACAAATAAGATGCTGGTTCAAAGACAATACCTCTAACTTAACCTTCTACAGCAAAAACAACACTAAGCTCGGTTTTTTGCATCAGATCTACGATCATATCCTAAACATGTTAAATAAATTGGTCATCATACATATACAGAGAGAAAGAAACACAAAAAAAACAAGAATCCAATATTATATTCTTTGAAATCACATAAATCAGCAGCAGACTAACAAATAACTTATATTCTTGTGAATCCAGAAATTTATTACAATTGAAGAAAATAATGACCTTGTAATTCACAAACTAGACCTGTTACAGTATCTCTATATAAGATGTTAGAGACTAAAAACTAGCTAACCTGCATTCCGTCCACAAGTTAATTTTTTTTTATATGTATATATCAATTAAAGAAATACAGGATACAGTTTAGTAACATGAGTGACTTATGAAGCAATATTCTGTCTGTCCTCAAATTCTCTTCTTATAACTTCAAACACGAGTTCATTCCATGTATGGACCTAGCATGCACCAGTGCAAACAATCTTGAGGTGTAGCCTACCATCTGGGTCCCATTTTGTGATCTTATTTGGATCTGTCTGGGCTTCAATGTGGACCTGCATGTCCATCGCGGTGATATGGAAATGCTTCTGTTATATCCATTGATTTCATTTTTGATTTGTTCATCTTTTTCTTCATAGCACGATTAAACTTGGTCACCTGCTTCTCGTGCATTACATTGGGAAAATCATTCTCAACTAATTCACTATCCAAGGCGGGCCTGACCTTTCCACTGCATGGTCCTCCAGTTTTCCAGGCTTCACCCTCATAATGATCAGGTAAAAAGCCACAGACAATTGTTAGACCCGTGTAATTCAGATATGTGACTAAGGCAGTAACAATTGTTTCGACGGATATTCCAAATGCTTTAATGTTGTTGATCTTCTTTTGTCTAGAATTGTCCGGCCACCACAATTGTCCCTCCACAATCTCATTGTTCATTATATAAACTGACTGCATCGCGAACTAATGGCCAGAGGAGAGGACTATCACATCAAAATCCATAATATATCGCAAGAATACTGTTGGAATATTAAACTCAACTTACCAATACCAGCAAGACCATCCGATCAGGAATTAAGCACAGCAAACCAGTTCACCAGACGTTCCCAGCCTCTCCAGTTCAGCATCAGCATCTCTCCAGTTCTCAACTCATTCTCTCCAATTCTCCAGCACGTTCACAGTTCACCAGAATTCAGCTTTGTTATTCTAGCATATTCTAGCATCTTCTTATGTTGGTTAGATTGTTAGTTTGTTACATGATTTGTTAGCTATTTCATCTATATATAGACTAGTTTACATTGTAATTCCTTAAGCAAGTATGAATTGAATTTCTACTTCTTCCCTGTGCATTTGCAGCAGGTTTATATCCGGCTCTGTTCTTCTCTGTTTTTGTTCCAATAATTTGATTAATTTCAGATTCAATTACTTCCTTTCCTTGATTTTATCATGGTATCAGAGCCTTCTTTTCTGGATTTTATCAAATACTTCATCATGTGCATAAAGGTGGAGCTTGACCAAACCAGTGGGAGCAAAGTCAAACGGCTCAGATGTTTGGTGAACAAACCAGGAGGACCATATGCAAACTATCATTGTAGATGTAGATCTGAAATAATAACGTTGCATCCTACGATTTCCTCTGTTTTTCGGAACCTCAACCTAAAAGAATCCCAGAATTATGAATTGGAGAGCCATTACATGCATGAGCAAAGTGCAAATCAAAACCATGCTCCACATAGATAGGTCCATACGTGTTTTTGTACTACTTTTGGAAACAAACAAATAATTCTGGCCAAAAAAACTTAAGAGGGCTTAAAAATCGACCTTTCATAACTCAAATACCTAGAGGGGAATTACACAGTGAAACTGTAGGTCTGTATGTCCCTTCTTTTATCAGGGGTCACTAAGACTTTATTCATGGCTTAAAAAGACATTAAATTTGGAAAAAAGATGTCCCCCACTTCAAACTTAAAAAAAGGGAAGCAGAGTTAATAATACGAGCTGGAGTGAGCTGGAAGGGTGCGCTGGAATAACAGAATTCACAACTGGCATTTGAGATATTGGTTAGTTAGTTAAATTAGTTAAAAAGGAATCTTTTAATTTTATTTAAATACCATGTAAATGTACTAATTCATTTTGATTGAATAAGATTCTTTTTCATCCCTCAATTCACGTTTTCCCTCCAATATGGTATCAGAGCCTTCTTGTGCTTAAACTCTGAAAATCAATTCCAAATCCATTCTTATTCCTTTTCAATTCCAACTCCTTTGTTGCTAATCATTTCCGAATTCAATTCCGATCAGAATCATCATGGCAACTGAAGCTTTCATTCGTGGAAATTCCTTCATTGATGATAACCAAAATCTTTACTACCTTCATCATTCTGATAATCCAGGGCTGGTCCTTGTATCTCAGCCATTAACTAGAGAGAACTATACTTCATGGAGCAGATCTATGTTGATTGAGTTGTCAGTCAAAAATAAAATAGGATTCATCGATGGATCTATAATTCGGCCTGAAGATGATGATGATCTTCTCAGCCAGTGGATCTGAAATAATAACATTGTTGTTTCGTGGATACTTAATTCAGTATCTAAGGAGATTTCAGCTAGTGTGATTTACTCTGAATCTGCTCATGATATCTGGATCGATTTGAAGGAGAGGTACCAACAGCGTAATGACCACGTATCTTCCAATTGAGGCGCGAACTGATGAATCACACTCAAGGTCAGTCGGCTGTGAGTACATACATTACAAAATTGAAGACAATCTGGGAAGAAATAAGCAACTATAGACCAGTTTGTTCATGTGGAAGTTATAGCTGTGGTGGATCTAAGAAGATAGCTAATCATTACCAGACAGAATACGTGATGTCTTCTCTGATGGGTTTAAACGATTCATTTGCTCAGGTTAGAGGTCAATTATTACTTATGGATTCTATACTCTCTATTAACAAGGTGTTTTCTCTAGTCTCTCAAGAAGAACATCAAAGGAGTGTTATTGCTACTTCGAATGCTATTGGATTAGCTGATGATTCAATGGCATTTTATGCCAGAAATGATGTCAAAAGGAGTAGCAATGGGCAAGTGCACAATAAGTTGTCAAGGAAGGAGAGACCTCCGTGCACTTATCGTGGTTATGCTGGTCATACTGTGGATAAGTGCTACAAGTTGCACGGTTATCCACCAGGATTCAAGAGCAAACACAGAGTTCAATCTGTTGCTCAACCTGCTGCAAACAAATCATCAAATTACATAGGTGCTAATCAAGTTTCTGACGATACTTCAGACCTGAAACAGAGAGGCATAGAGGATTTTATGCAGACTTAAAACAAGGTCAGTACCAACAACTAATGAATATGCTGAGCAACCACTTGACTTCTGCGAAGATGGATACTGGAACAGAAAGTCTACACTCAAATCAAGTATCAGGTACTTATTTTTCCATTTCCAGTAACATGTTGGTTAATTTTCCTACACATGGGTTATTGATTCAGGTACACCAGCCATATTTTTTCATATTATTCAGCCTTTCTAGATATGAAATATGTGAAAAATGCTTTCATCACTCTACCAAACCATGAACGAATTCCTGTTAAGTTTATTGGGAAAGTGAAAGTGACTCCCAATTTGGTATTAAAGGATGTGCTATATGTGCTAGACTTCAAGTTCAACCTGATGTCAGTGAGTTCTTTGACTAAAGATTCACATATGGCAGTGCAATTTCTTACTGATTCATGTTTTATTCAGGACTTGCACAGCCAGAAGATGATTGGAAAGGGTGGGAGACTAGCCGATTTATACATAATGACAGAAGGCTCGTTTGATGTATTGAAGCTTAGTAATAACCATGTTTTAGTTTGTTCCTCTGTTGACAATGTAAATGTTCATGTTTGGCATAACAGGCTTGGTCACTTGTCATTTCAAAAATTGGAATTGTTAAAGGACCAATTACCTATAGTTTGTAATAAAAACAAGAACAATGTATCAGTTCCTTGTCAAATCTGTCCATTGGCCAAGCAAAGAAGGCTGTCGTTTGCCTTTCACAATCATATGTCTGCTAACAGTTTTGATCTTGTCCATTGCGACACATGGGGTCCTTACTATATCCCTACACATTCAGGATATAAGTACTTTCTAACAATAGTTGACGATTGCACTTGTTTCACATGGATCTATCTCATGAGACATAAATCAGATGCCCTCATTATCATTCCCAAATTTTTCAAAATAACTGAAACTCAATTCCATAAGTCAATCAAAAAGTTCAAATTTGATAATGCACCTGAGCTACAATTTACTGAGTTTTTTCATTTAGAAGGGGGTCCTACATCAGTTCTCATGTGTTGAAAGGCCTGAACAAAATTCGGTTGTTGAGAGGAAACATCAACATCTTCTCAATGTTGCAAGAGCCTTATATTTCCAAGCCCGAATTCCTATCAGATTCTGGGGGAAATGTGTTTTGACTGCTGCATGCATCATTAACAGGACTCCAACCTCAGTTCTTCATCATAAATCCCTTTTTTCACTCATGTAGAACTCTCCAGTTGACTACTCTCTTTTAAAAGTATTTGTCAGTCTGTGTTTTGCCTCCACTCTTTTATCCCACAGATCCAAATTTCACCTTAGAGCCAAAGCTTGTATCTTCCTTGGTTATCCTCCAGGTATTAAAGGCTACAAGCTCTATGACATTGTCTCCAAAACGTTCTTTGTGTCCTGGGATGTTGTTTTTCATGAACAACATTTCCCTTTTCAATCCATAACTGATACTTTAGCAAACGTTGATTCATTTCCTGACTTTGTTCTACCAAAGGCTACTTCTGATATTTCTATTCCTATCCCAATTATTCATCCTACTTCTGATGCAAATTCTAGAGTGTGTCCTCCCCTGAACTCCTACCTGAGTTTGCAGGTGACTCTCCAAATTTGCTAACCAACCCTCCTTCTTATACATCTAATCCTTCAGCTGATCTTATTCCTACCAGACGATCTTCCAGAACTAGCATCCCATCTTCATACCTTAGAGATTTCCATTGCAATCTCCTACGGAATTCCCAACCTTTTGATGATAAATTACCCTATCCCATTTCTAAATACATCTCATACAGTTGCTTTTTCCCTACTTACAACAATTTCCTTCTTTCTGTTTCCTCTACCTTTGAACCATAATTTTTATCATCAAACAGTAAAATTTTCTCATTGGAAGGAGGCTATGGATAGTGAGCTGGAAGCTATGGAATTGAACAATACTTGGTCTGGTACAAACCTGCCTAAGGGAAAGCATTCCATAGGTTGCAAGTAGGTTTACAAGATCAAATATAAATTAGATGGAAGCATTGATTGGTACAAAGCAAGGCTTGTGGCTAAAGGCTACATACAGCAGGAGCGATTGGACTTTCTTGAAACGTTTTCTCCTGTGGCTAAGTTGGTAACAGTTAAGGTTCTTTTGGCCATAGCTACAGCAAATAAATGGGAGATTACACAACTCGATATCAATAATGCATTCCTTAATGGTGATTTATTTGAGGAGATTTATATGGAGCTTCCAATGGGATACCGTAAACAGGTTAATTCTGGCAGACAAGGGGAGCATCTAGTATGTAAACTACATAAGTCAATTTACGGTTTGAAATAGACCTCAAGACAGTGGTTTGCTAAATTCTCAAATGCTCTCCTCCAAAATGGATATAATCAGTCCAAATCTGATTACTCATTATTTACCAAAGGCACGGTGCTTCTTTTGTGGCCTTACTTGTGTATGTTGATGATATAATCATCACAGGGCCAAGCTTTCAAGAAGTGAAGACTTTGAAGACGCTTCTGCATAGTCAGTTCAAGCTGAAAGAGCTGGGGCAGCTGGAATATTTCTTGGGCTTAGAAATTGCCAGATCATCTAGAGGCATTTTCTTGTCACAACGCCATTACACTCTTCGACTCCTTGAAGACACAGGATTTTTGGCC